GCAGCAGCAGCAGCAGCAGCAGCAGCAGTGGAAGCAGAAGGGCTTCAAAGCAGCAGCAAGGTGCACGTGCTGCGGCTGCTTTCACGCGTCAGTGTGATGCCGGAGGGTGTGGAGATACGCAAAGTTCGTGCCGGGTAAGAAGCTGCTGATAGTCTGCTTCTGTTGCTGCCGGGGTGCTAGTGCTGCTGCTGCTGCTGTTAGGCAGCAGCTGCTTCCCCTAGCGCGCCGGCGGTTTTGTTGGGCTGCTGCTGTTGCTGCTACGCTGCTAGTGTTGTCGCTTGGGTGCTGTTGTTGCTAGTGTGCTGCTGTTGTTGCTACCAAACAGCTGCTGCGCTTCCTGTTGCTTCAATGTTAGCAACTGCAGCAGCAGCGAAATTTCATTTTGCATGCGTTTTTAACTGTGCGTTTTCTCTCCAATTCTCTGTTTGTTCAGATTGGAACAGTGCGGCTTTGTCCGCCATGCCCTGTCCCGTTGCTGCAGCAGCCGGCGCAGCAGCAGCATCAGCAATGATTACAGCAGCAGCAGCAGCAGCGATTGCGGCGATGTCGAGCTATGGCTGCAGCAGCAAACTGTCCGCATTCAGCCAATGGGACCCTTGACAGCGATCCTTGGAGACACAGCTGACTGCAGCTGCCCTGTGTCCGTTTCGCTTTTGCGTTGTATCAGACTTAGCAGCGCTGTTGCTGCTGCTGCGGCTCCGCTTCTGCTGCATCTGAAACTTCAGGGAGCCGATGCTGCAGCCGCGGCGCTAGCAGCGAAGGGAGAGTACCTGGTTTCACCGTATTTCCAGCTAGCAGCAGCAGCAGCAGCAACAGCAGTAGGGGGTGACAAGGCCGTGGCGTTACGCGGCTTGACCCTTCCTGCTGCTGCTGCCGGTATCGCTTCTGCCGATGTACCTCCCGGGGGTAATGCGAGCGCCGCTGCCCCTAGCCGCGGCTGCTCCTGCTGCTCCTGCTCCTGCGCAGAGCTGCAGCAGGGGGGACAGAAGCGAGGCCCCGTTCTAGCTGGACGGTCTGTCTTCAGCATGGAGCGTCAAGCTATCAGGTGCGTCATACCTTCGTTGCTTCTGCGTTGGAAGTGTACGTACACCCGCGCAGCAGCACCTGCTGCTGGCTGTGCCTTGCAGACATCTCATATATGTCACCTGACAACCGGCTTTGNCGCGCAGCAGCACCTGCTGCTGGCTGTGCCTTGCAGACATCTCATATATGTCACCTGACAACCGGCTTTGCCCCTGAGCTTCAGGCAATCTCGCGTTCACTTCTCCCCCTGCTACTGGTGTTTTTGCTGCTCCTGCTGTTGCTGCTGCTGTGTCTGCACTTCAGAAGCCTTCCGAGGCGCCTGCTGGAGGAGGCGCAGCAGAAGAAGCAAAAGCAAGACGAACAAACGGCCAGTTGTTTTTTCGGGGGCCCATGGGGATCAGGCCCACAGAAGAGGCTTGCAGACGCTTTAGGAACGGGGTTGCTGCAGCTGGTGCTGCGTGCTGCTGCATCGGCAGCCGAAGAAGACGCACTTGGCAGCAGCAGCAGCAACAGCAACAGCTACGAAGCTGATGGCAACACGAGCGAAGAATGCTTGTCTGAAGGGCTCCGCTTCGTTGAGGTAAGAGATGTGAGGGAGGCGTTTATCTCAGAAGGCCCCGTTGCTGCTGCTGCTTCTTTACAGTTTGGTCGTTGCTGCTGCTGCTGCAACTGCTGCTGCAGCTTCTGCTGGTGAACGCTTGCGGGGTAGTGCTTCTCGGGTCAGCGGCGTTTGCTGTAGCTGCGCTGTGCTGTAACGTTTTGCTGCAGGATTTGAATTTGTGGGCTGCGGCACTTCCGTCAGAGCTGCTGTTGCCAGTGGAGCAGCAGCAGGAGCAGCAGCAACAGCACCAGAGACACCNGCACTTCCGTCAGAGCTGCTGTTGCCAGTGGAGCAGCAGCAGGAGCAGCAGCAACAGCACCAGAGACACCGCATGTTGCGGTTGCCCGCAGTTGATGTTCTTTTGTTGCACTCGGAACCCCTGGGCCTAGTGACCCTTTCAAAGGCTCATGGCAGTAGCAGCAGCGGCACACCCTCTAGTGCAGACGGTAGTGCTGCTGCTGCTGCTGCTGCTGCTGCAGCTCGTGCTGTTGATGGGCTCCGCAGCAGTGAGGAAGAGCCTCCGCTGCTGGTAGATACCGAAGAGCCTTTACAAATGGCAGCCCGAAAGAAGAGGGCTTCAAGGGACTGGGACGATGGGGGGACAGGCAACAGCAGCAGCAGCAGCAGCGTAGGCCGCTGCTGTTGCTGCTGCTGCTTTCTAACGGATGCTGCAGTGCCGCCTGTTTTCGAGCCTTTGCAGGCTGCACTGTGTTTGGGTTGAGGAGGGAACCATTTTTTTATTTCTCTTTATTTGCTGCTGCAGCACAAGGCAGCTGCAGCTGCAGTGAGCTGCAGGTGCAAGCGCAGTATCTGTTTTTTCGGAAGCCTCGTAGTACAGCAGATTCGGGCTTATACTGCCGACTACAGCATGCAGTGTACGTACACCGAACGCACCACTGCAGCCAGGCGGCGGTTTGGGGTCATCTCNCCGACTACAGCATGCAGTGTACGTACACCGAACGCACCACTGCAGCCAGGCGGCGGTTTGGGGTCATCTCTCCCGCATGCATCCCGTCTCTAGCGAGCTGCTTACGAAATAACACACATAACACTAACATTCAATACGGACTTCATTCATGCGAAGAGGCACACAGAACACTAACATTCAATATAGACTATTCGCCTGGAGCACACCCTACACTAACATTCA